GAGGGAGGCTCTTGCTCCCTGCCTTCTGGTTGGTGCAGAGCTGAGTGTCTGAGATGGAGGCAGAAGCGAGTGGAAGGAAACCTCTTTCCATCTCCCTTATGTGGGGCGGGGAGGGGGGTGGCTCTATTTTAATGAGAGAAAGAATGGGCCACTGATTGTTCTTCTCCCGTTCTAGGGGCCAGGTCTCCAGACTCACACTTCTCATTATAATGCAAATATCCAGAAAAAGATGAAAATTCATAACCTCATCACCAGAGACCTGGTGACAGGCCAGAGATCCGGAGACAGCCCATGTGTACAACCTCAAGCCTCAGCGGGGAGCAGTCCACAGGCTGGCAGGCCATTTACAAAACTGGGCTCAGCCCACTTCATCAGCATCCGGGAGGCCCTGCTGCGCCTCCGGGAGATAAACACACACCTGGGAGCTGGCGGGCCTCTCCCCAGGGCGCGCCTGGAAGGTTGCTGCCCCCACCTGCCGCCTGGGGACCGGGGCTGTGGAAGGTCCCTCCACCAGCCAGGCTGCTGGGCGTGTGACAGTGTTTAATGAGGAGGTTCCTCAGATGGGCTCTGGGCGGCCAGGAGAATCCCAGAGGGCCACGACGGTCAGGCCTGGGAAGCCATGACGTAATGCCTCACTGGGGTCCAAGCAAAACAAGCCTGCTGCTGTCGGTGCCTTCCCAGCCGCCGGCTGCTGCCCTCCCAACCGCGGGCGGCCTGTTCTGGGTGATTACCAAGTCCCCTCCCTTCCTGGAAGGAGAAAATGCGAAAAACCTCTATCGTCACATCAGAGCCAGCCCTAGACATAAGAAATGTCTTTCAAAAGGCGTCTCGCTGAAGCGGGGTCTCCATAGCAACTTCAGAAGAGTGTGTGTACAACCAGGCGGCAGGCTGAGGGAAGCCCCGGGGAATGGGAACCGGCCCTGCTCCGTCCAGGTGCAGGCGGAAGTTGTCCTAGCACCGTGATGGCGAACCTATGACACGCGAACTCATTTTTTTGGTTGATTTTTCTTTGTTAAATGGCATTTAAACATATAAAATAAATATCAAAAATATAAGTCTGTTTTACTATGGTTGCAAATATCAAAAAATTTCTATATGTGACACGGCACCAGAGTTAAGTTAGGGTTTTTCAAAATGCTGACACGCTGAGCTCAATAGGTTCGCCATCACTGTCCTAGAACCTGTCATGCTGCGATGTGACCTTGGGCAAGTCATTGACCTTCTCTGAAGTCTAAGGTGACAGAACCTTAATCAGATCAGGATGACGGATCAAGGTCATGCTGCCCACATGACCCTCCCACCCCAGTCCAATGCGCTGGTCCCCCAGAGCAGCCCCTCATCCCGACTCTGTCCGGGCTCGGGTGGGTGAGCTCCTGTCTCGAGGCTCCTGCCCATCTTGCTTATTATCTGACGCTGGGAGAGGACAATGGTCACGTAAGCTGGTTTCTAAAAGAATTCGCTTGGTCTCTTAAAACAGCGGTTCTCAACCTGTGGGTCACAACCCCTTTGGCGGTCGAACGACCCTTTCACAGGGGTCGCCTAAGACCATCCTGCATATCAGATGTTTACATTACGATTCATAACAGCAACATTACAGTTATGAAGTAGCAACGAAAATAATTTTATGGTTGGGTCACCACATGAGGAACTGTATTTAAAGGGCCAGAAGGTTGAGAACCACTGCTAAGAGAAGCAGTACAATTGTGTGCGCTGACGAATTAAGGGCGACTACCAGGATCCGTGCAAATCACACCAGAGGTTTGAGCAAGCCCCCCCACATAGCAAAACTAACCTCTCGAGTGAGCACATCTCCCTTTTATCTCAGGATCCTCATTTTAAAATAAGAACATTAGAGCCAGAGATGCTAAGTGACGTTCCAAGGGTCTTGCAACTACATAGAAACAGGTTTCTAACCCAGGTGTTCAGACGCCACATGCGAGATCAGGTGAAAATGAACATCCGGGGTCAGCCTGGAATGGGGAGGTGTCGCCAGGGGCCCCTGCTCTCCCACCAGCTGCCTCCCTGAGTCACTGCCCAACCACCAGCCTCCTTAAAACAATGTTTCCCAAACTATGTTCCGCCAGCACAGGGCTTCTCACATGGTAAGGTGCTTACAGATCACCCGGGGAACTTGTTAAAATGCAAATTCCACTCAGTGGTTCTGAGCTGAGGCCTGAGATTCCGCACCCTAACAAGTTCCCAGGGCCGCCGCCGTGGCCGCTGCTGGTCTGTGGCCCCACCTTTTGCTTAGTGAAGCGTCAACAGTGTCACCCGCTGAAAAGGGTTCCTGGGCAAATACTTTTGAGAAAATCGGGGCTCAACAAAATCGAACCCGTTTCATTGCTGCAGGACTTCTCAAGCCTTCAACAGGTGAGCATAGTTCATCTCCAACAGGAAGAGAGGATTCAAAAGTTGCAGCGTTATACCCGAGAAAGGCTAACGGTGGGTGTCAGACGCGTTGATACACTTTGGTTTACAAAGCGGGAGCAGAGAACGAGTTATTTTACACATGCATTTTCCCCAGCTTACCTCGGCGGCAGTATTTCCACGGTGCAGTTCGCATTCGGCCTGGCTGGGCCCTCCCCATTTTCTCCTTGGAGGTGTGTGGGCAGTGACCACCTCCTCCCTCAGGCATACACATCCTGGCGCC